GATATTACTAATTTGAAACCAACATACAATATTGGGGATAAAGTTCTAGTTCGATACTACAAAAAGGCTTGGAAATATTATGCCGGTGTCATTGAGAATATTAATTTAAACCTAAGAAAATACACCATAACGTATTATAAAACCATTGGAAAAAAAGATGACGTGAAATTTGTTATTCCTAAGCGGAAGGATCAAGATTGTATTCCTGATTATAATATAGTTAAGGAAATAGAGTTACTACAAATAAAGGAGGATCCTGAGGAGTACATCCTTATGAATGACGAAGATGCAATTTATTTTTAAAATATTGAATTTTATAAATGCCGTGTTTTTACATTATTTATAATTTTTTCTTAGAGTTAAACTGCCCTGGCATGGCATCATTACATGACAGTAACAGTAACAGTAGATTACATTTAAGTAAAACTAAAAAAAAGAAACATTATTTATTTTCTATCTAATACGAGTAGCTGGACACTTACAAGATACTGTCCAGCGCCGAACAAAATAAAAAAATATATTTAATTCAGTAGCGCGCCTGTAAAGTTTGGTTAAAGAGGAGTTAATAATTTTGAAGTTATATATTTTGAACTTTAGTGTAGGTATAACTTTTTGATACCCGCATAATTTGTTTTTAATTTATATTATTATGTTAATCGCTTTAAAGATATAGCATTTATTTATGTCTAATTATTTTTGTACCTTAACTCTAAGAGAACATTTTAATGCCAAAACGGTAGTACGTAGATACGTTTATGCCAAATACTTGTCATAGATCGTTAATAACAAAATACATTTACTCGATAATTTTTATAAAGGTTTATTGAAGAAATATTTTAATTTGATAGAATGCCTGTGAAATTTCCTAATGAAGAGTTTATTTATTATGTTAGATTATGATAATATTGTTACGTTCTTTGATCTCATTTTTAAATATTTTATTTGTTTATTTTGTTACTCTTTATAAAGACTGAAACGCGAAAATTATGTGCAAACTAGTTGAAAACGGTATTAGACCTGTTTCGATAGGGCATTTATTTATTGATAAGTACTTATTTTAATGCTTAATCTAGAATACAATCTAATGCCAAAACGAAGGTTAAGTAATATTAATAGGCTTATGCTCAATATAGATTGTTATTAATAAGATACATTTACGTAATAATTTTTATAAAGTGATGTTGTAGTCAAGTTTATTAATAATACTTATTTAGTGAGCTACGCTAAAAAGTTATGAATAATAAAGAAAAAATAATTAAAATATTCTCAAACGCATATTATTTTCTTGGTTTTGATTGTTGTCTATCGTTTTATCCTTACAAAAATTATTCTTTGACACATTTATCTCATCAGGTAACGTTTATCTCATCTCATTACATATTTATCTTATTAGATAAAGTAATTCAGTTTCACGGGAAACTTTCAACCCACGTTCCTTTTCCTGGTCTAGTCAACTTTGCTTTACTTTTTCCGACTTCATGCCCTTATTATGATTCTACTTAACTCTACAAATAGGCTCACGCCTGCTTATTGATACACAAACACAAATATGCACACAAAATAATCTATCAACCTCTACCCCTGTATTATCCCATTTCACCAGTCCTTACTGTTAATTTTTTTTCTCAAAAAAAAAATCAAATGCATCCGATTTTCCCTTACATTGAGTAATTCCATCTTGTCATAACAAAGTTTGAGAACCATAAAATTACAATTTCTTTATATCAGGGATAAGATCGGATGACAAGAAACAAAAAAAGAGAAAATCATTTAGAAGATTTATGTTTCTGGTAATTTATAGATCACATTAAAATATGTTTTTGAGCTTTAAAGATAGGACAAATCTCTTTTATAAACTTTTTTCTCTAAGCAGTAGAAGTGGTTTTAAATTTAAGTCCGGTCTTACCCCTTAATGGCCAATTTTTCATTATGCATATAAAAAGTATGTCTAGTTTTCGCACACCTTTAAAGCAGAAACCGTTGAGTTTACACAAGCAAAAGATTCTCAGAGCTAAACTACGTTTAACGATTAACGGTTTGCTCCATGTTCCATAAATCTGACGTATACGAATGTCGAGAAATTAAAGTTTTTGGCAGACTCTTCCAACTATTCGAAAATCCGTCCGGTATTACCCCAACGTACCTTGCGTAGCATAGCCCATAACTCACTAAGCGTCCTTAAGCTTCCTCAAATGGCCAGCAGTGAAGGACCACGTTTCAACAATGACTTATTTTAAGAAATTCGCAACATTGAAAAATGCTCTAGCATTTTCCAATTTAGCAGGCTTTAGTGGTATAAAAGCCCAAATAAACATATTTAACCATGTATACCTTTTTCATATGTAAAACTCTCTACCTAAATTATCCAAGCTTGCTTCGAATGCTTTCAAAACTTTTAATGGAGGCAATTTGGCTCCACATTCAAAATACTATTCAAGCTGGATTCGAAGACAGTGAAGCAAATATAATTTCCGTTAGAATTAGCATTTAACATTTTTAAGATTTTTTCTTTAATTTTCTTTGTCAAACCAATTACTGAGACAAAGTGAATAGAAGTATTAAAAAACTGCCTTCAGAAGTTATTAAACTACGAGGAAATTATTTAATATTTTTTTTTACTTTTATACCAAGTTAAATAATTTGACTCTTTAATGGCATATTATGGCTTAGGTTATTTTTGGTAGAGGAAATTGGGAAAAACCAAATTACATTCGTTGCTTGTATTTTTATTTTAATATAAAATCAAACCATGTCTAATAAATGTGCGGTATTTACCAACAATTTACATTTTTACTGTTGGTAGTCATTAATTATTAAAATAATAATAAAAAATAAATGTCAAAATCAGAGTATCATAAGAGAAAGAAAAATTAAAAGAAAACTACTTATCTTTAAATACTTTATCTACAACTAGCTGCAACCACGACTTTGTTTGCATAATATTGTTATCTTCGATTGTTTTAAACCTAATTTGCTACTTTAATTTCTTTGAAGCTTTATTACTTTAGGCATAATATTAGTTTTATCAACTACGTCCCAGTTCTAAATGAAATTCTAATATATTTTTATTACGGCTGGCCCAAAAGTCACAGCACCATTTCAGAATGGAGAACATTTTCATTTCTTAATAATTTATATTTATTCTTTCATAAACAAAAACACACTTCTTGGAAATAAATGTTATTTAGTTTTGAAAATTACATCATTTAAATTAAAGGACGCGTCCATGTGAAGGTTCACACTGACGTGGTCTTCCTAAGGCGTGATTCATCACCTGTTACGACAGGTGATGAATCATTCAATTGGAGGGATAAGTCAAGATACATTACGATGTGTTATCCCTCCAATTTCTTCACGGATGCTGGCCTTCAATTGCTGAATGGTTTGAGAATTGTTATCTTTCAAACAACACTAAAAGAACGGAAAGAAATCTGGAGCAGTTAAGTCAGGTGGACGTAGCAGCCAGTTAAGACTGAAAGAAATCAGCTGAAAGATAACAGGCAAGAGCCTTGCCAATTATGGAATCTGGCCCACATACGTCAATCGTGCCCGATAATTGGCTGGCTTCAATTACCGCATTAGTTTTCTTTATACCGATAGCCATGCAAAATCCATCTTCTGGAGATAGGTTCGGGATATTCCAAATACTGTGACCGCCTTCGAGTTGATATTAAATACTGACGTTGGCCTCCCAGAACGTGGTAAGTTACTCACAGAGCTCTGAATTAGAAACCGTCGGAATAAACGAGATATAGTTTGTTTATATGGTGGTTTTCTGACACCAATATGATGAGTGTAGGCTCTTGTTGTTTACACAATTGACTGTTGTTTTCTATAAAGAATTCTATTATTTTAACCAAGAATAATTTTTTAATAACCTAAAATCAAATTTAACAAATAAAATGTTGTAAAATTTTATTTAAATATTAAATAGTGTTGTGTCTTTTGGGCCACCTAGTACTTGTAAGGTATTTCTTCAGTAGGTAAAACCCATCAAGTGCATGGATGACTAAAACACAGAGTGTACTATATAATAATATAATATTTAAAAAAAAATAAAGTTATCTACGTTACGCACTAACAAAATACGAAAAATTAAGATAACTCTTAAAAGAAAATCATAGAGTTTCTTGGATTGCAAACTTCAAATATAAAAAGGGAACAATAATTCTTTTGACATTTGTGGGTAAGGTAATGACACACAAATATAGAAGAAACATATAAATCCGAAATCTATTCTATTCAACGTGGTAGAGCCATGCTGCAGCTATATGAATAGTATAGTTGTAGCACGAATGGGTTGGCTCGATCGGGGAAGGACCACGGTCTCACAGAATACCAGTGTAAAATAGCAGCTTAATGCTGCTATGTTTCGTATGGTGAGTGTAGAGAACCGGAGACCCTTTTTACTGGAAAAGAGGCATTCCATCTTAGTCCTCACGGCTGACAACGTATCTGCATTTTAATTCACAAACGAAGATAGATGCAGATGTCTATGGGCCACAGCAACCACTTACCATCAGGTGGACTGTGTGCTCGTTTGTCACCTTTATATTATAAAAAAAATCTATTACCTAAAATATCTAAGTAGCTGCAATTAAATTCTATAATTATGCCAAATTAATAGTATTTATTATTAATAGTCAATAGACTAGCTATGGTCTAAAAATAAGTCCATCAAAAAGCAGTAGAACAGCACAATGGTACTTGACTTGCCTTAAAAACCTTGTTGGAAATGTGTTGCTGGCACTCATTGGTGGATCAATTAATAAATTTAATTTTTTTTGTGTATTATAATACAAACAGTGAAGGTTATTAAGTTATTATTTAAAAAAATATTCTATCACAAGTGTTTGGACGCAGTGATTCAACGCAACGCGTAAGCGCCACGATCTGCCCGGCGCTTAAGACCTTCTTCTCGCAGTCTTTTGTGGCCAAGGCATTGTGCACTATCAAGGGACCGCTTGCTAACCGGGTGTTTTTGGTTTATTTACCCGTCCATGTATGATAACAAAATTATTGCAATGTTTCCTAAAAAGAAATGGGCTGGATGTTGTCGCATCTTGGAGAAAAATATTGCGTCCATGCAATGCGGTCAGTGCAAAGATCATTATCACACTGTGTGTGTGAATATAGATGATGAAAAATTCAGCATGCTCACAAAGGAATGGAAGGCTAATTGGACATGCCTGGCTTGTGTATGCAGGAAACCACGAACTAGGGATAACACCAATACACCTGTGCGGAGCGGCAGCTCAGGCGGAGTCACTGCTAGCGGGGCCGCGGTGATCCCGATCACGTACATAACTGACGAGCTCGCGGCGTCGCCCGCATCTTACGAAAATATAACACGCCGCACGAAGGTGGTTGCTACCAAATCAAACCGTTAGCCGTCGCCTGATATATCTCATCAAAATACAGTGGAAGCTGAAGCAATAGGCAGTTCTGCGGCTTATGTCACTGAAAATCGTTTGCGTGAAATTTTGAGGCAAGAGATCTCCCATGTGCTTAAAACCACGATAAGAGACTTGGTTTCAGAGGAGTTCTCAAGCATCAAACAAGAGATCTCTAATTTTAATGATTCGTTAACTTCTTTAATAGTTGTTTCGAAAACATAAAGCAAGAGATGGAGGAAAAAACGGCAACGATTAAGAATCTCCTAACAGAAAATGCTAGCTTACAGTACACAGTAAGCGATCTTTCAAACAGGATGGGGACTCTTGAACAAGTATTACGCGAGAGTAATGTGGAAATAAATGGAATCCCCGAAAGAAAATCTGAAAATTTGGTAAATATTATAACACAAGTAGCTAAGTCTGCTGACCATGAACTGTTGGTAGAGGACATACTGCATGTGACAAGGGTCGCAAAGCTCAACCCAAAAACTGATCGAGCCCGCACAGTAGTAGTAAAGCTGCGCAGCCTGCGCCAGCGTGACGCATTGTTGGCCGCGGTCGCTACTTACAACAAAAGGAACCCAACCAACAAGCTCAGTACTTCACACTTAGGCTTTGAAGGACCAAGCACTCCCGTATTTGTTGCAGAACATCTTTCACCCAGCAATAAATCCCTGCATGCCGCAGCACGTAAGAAGAAAAGAGAATTAGGATACAAGTATGTTTGGGTACGCAACGGGCTTATAGACACGCGAAAGGATGATTTTAGCCAAGCCTTACTTATTCGGAATATGGACTGTCTATACAACGTGAAGTAGGTTTTTTTTGTATTATATCTTCTTGTTTTCAACGTATAAGCGACCTAGAGAAATATTTTTAAGGACATATATTATTAAAATTTAAGAGGTCTTAGAACCAAAACTAACGATGTTTTGGTAAATATCCTACAAAAAAATTATAAAATACTTGTATTCACAGAAACCTGGCTAAATACAGGTGCGAACAATAGTGAATTCATAGATAATAAATATTGTGTTTATCGTAGAGATCGGTGCTCTACTTCTAGTCATAAGTCCGATGGCGGAGGAGTAATGATCGCAGTATCCAATGACATTCAGTCCATTCGAGTTCCAAGCTGGGAATCTGACTGCGAAGATCTCTGGGTCATCCTTAATATTAAAACTAATAACACTATTTTTAAAATTGCTTTGGGTGCTGTCTACCTTCCTCCTCCAGTCACTTTAGATTTACTTTCAAAATTTTTAGACAATAGTAGTAATATTTTTATTTGTGTAGATGATTTCATAATATTGGGTGATTTCAACCTAGGTCATATTTCCTGGTCCAGTCAAAAAAATTGTAATTTAATGAAGCCTAATAACTATATAAACAATAGCTTAGTATGCGCTTTAATAGATTTTATTTGTGCTAATAGCCTATTTCAGTTTAATAATTTAAGTAACTGTGATAATAGAATATTGGATTTAGCGTTAAGTACAATTAAGAATGCTCGCGTTAGCAAACCCCTGGATCTCATTAGCAAACTAGACCCGAAACACCCTAATTTATTATTTAGTTTATCCCATACTAACTTAAATTATTTACAAACTAAAACTCACATTGATTTCAACTACTTTAAAGCTAATTACCAAAAAGTTAACTCCAAATTAAGCTTAATCGACTGGGATGAAACGTTTTCTAAATTTGTTGACGTTGACGAAAAGGTTCAAATTTTTTACCACAAATTGTATAACATTATTCAAGAATGTGTTCCAAAACGCAAACTACATAAGTCTCGTCACCCTTCGTGGTTCACTCCAATGTTAATAAAGCTGAGATCTGAGCAAGACAAACTAAGGCGGAGATACCATAAATATAAGAACTCCAGAGATAAGCTAGAGTATGATACAGTTCGTAATCGCTGTCATAAACTATTGCACAAATGTCACAAGGAATATAGAGCTAATTTGGAATACAATATCCGTGAAAACCCAAAAGCATTTTGGCGATATTTAAAAGATAAGCGAAAGAGAAACTCTGAAATACCTGCGCAGATGTTTCTTGACGATGACAGCGCAATGACCGGGCCGAAATTGCTAGCCTGTTCGCAAGACACTTTTCCTCAGTCTATATAAATACACCTATAACTCCCAAACTCTTGATATTTACTGAGCAAAACACCATCGGAGCTCTCAGTCATCTCTGTGTTTCTAGAGAGGTCATTATAAAACATATAAAAAACCTCGATATTTACAAGGGTGCGGGACCAGATGGCATTCCTCCAGTTTTATTAAGAATTGTGTTGCATATCTTGCTTATCCGTTATTTTTAATTTTTAATTATTCTTTATTAGTAGGCAAATTCCCTACAATATGGAAAAATGCTCGGGTCATACCAATACATAAAAAGGGTGATGTATCGTCAGTAACAAATTACAGACCCATCTCTATACTATCTGCTTTTTCAAAATTGTTTCAGGCGACTGTATGTCCATTCCTAACTCATCACATTGAAGTCAATATAAGTGATTTTCAGCACGGTTTTCGAAAGGGCCGTTTTACCAAAACGAACCTTATCTCATTTATTTCACACATTTCACGCGAGGTTGACAAAGGATGCCAAGTGGACGTCATTTACAGTGATTTTTCCAGCGCCTTTGATAAGGTAAACCATGGCCTGTTATTGAGCAAACTTGAAGCCACAGGAATTCACGGGTCATTACTTGCTTGGCTTACTTCATACCTAGAGAAAAGAACACAGTTGGTGGCAGTGGGGGGTTATGAATCGCAAACGTACTACGCAGAATCTGGCGTACCTCAGGGTTCCCATCTGGGACCAATATTGTTCTCGCTCTTTATAAATGATGTCACGAGTACACTAAAGGCAAGCTACGTTTCCTTGTTTGCAGACGACCTGAAGCTCTTGAGAGTGATATCAACTAAATTTGACTCTTTACTTCTTCAAGATGATCTTAACCGACTGGAGGAATGGTGTAAGGAAAGCTTTATGATGTTAAATACCAAAAAATGTTTCTATATCAAGTTTACTAAGAAAAAGAAGCTTTGCACTACTTCATATAGTCTTAAAGGAACTATGCTCACAGAAGTTGGTGAAATAAGAGTTCTAGGTGTTATGTTGGACATGAAACTCACCTACGTTCCTCATATTAATAGGATTGTAAAGAAAGCTGCGCAGATGCTGGGCTTCCTTAAACGCAATACCAGAGGCTTTCAAATAAGCACTAAAATCTTACTTTTTAACACCCTAGTAAGGAGCCAACTGGAATATGCGAGTACAATATGGAACCCAACATACGCTGTGCACTCCCAAAGAATACAAAGTATTCAGAGAGCTTTTACAAGACATCTTGCCTTCATATGTAGTGGAATTTCACATTGGTGTCCCTACGAACAAAAATTTGCATTTTTTGAAATACCTTCCCTGAATAGTAGGAGAAAAATTCACGACCTGCTGGTATTATATAAAATAGTAAATGGACAGACTGCCTGCTGTGAACTATTACAATATTTCTCCCTAAATGTACCATACAATATCCCTCGTCGTCCAATAACAAAACTGTTACACACTTCTCAATCCAGGACTAACATGGGATCATACACCCCGGTACCGCGAATGTGTGACACCTATAATTCACTCTGTGGTGTGTTGCCTATTGTCGATATTTTTCATGATACTTTCCCTAAATATAGGAAAAATGTAATAGATCACTATTATAAATAATTTGTGAATAATTTAATTATAATTTAATATCCATGTTCCCTACAGCTGCTGCTTAGTTATGTGCATGTTTTTTATTGTCTTGGTTATACATTATCTTTAAGTATTTTTTTTGTGACATATTTCTTTATAAGCTATTGTAGCTCTGCCCTGTCTTAATTTTTATAGTATTTTGTAATGCTGTGTCACCTATAAGGGTGCACACATCAGTCCCTAGATTAAGCTCACGTTCAATTAAATGTAATAATGTGTGCACTGCTGGTGTCCTACGAATAAATAAATAAATAAATAAATTTTTTTTTTTTACATTTGACCTCAATATACTGGGTGGCGATTAGGTTATCACAGCGGTAAATACCAGTTCATATATATGTCTCTTAAAGTAATAAAATAAACAATTCCACCAAAACAAAACTACAACTACAAAACTATTGGTCATAACTTGATCAAATTTATACGGGACCACATCAAATAAAAAAAGAATCATCGAAATCGGCTTACGTAGAACAATGTTATGATATAAACACACATAAAAAAACATACAGTGGAATTAAGTGCGTGGGGTAGTGGATGATCTTACGCCCCCTATACGGAACCTAGGTGAACATACTTGTCAACAATTTCAAACGAATTGCTCCCAGTAAAAACCAGCATATTATTATGTGTGACTTATACGTTATACATAAAGTTTATCTTGTCTACTTTTTCACAAATTATCATGAAAAAGATTCATGTATTTACGCGGTAGAGTTTTACTTTTACGTAGTAGAGAGTGGTATGTTTTTACGTGGTAAAGCCATGCTACAGCTATATTACTGTTGTATCACGAATGGATCTACCGGGGAAGGTCCTCGGGAAGTTGTAGCACAAATGGGTCGCCTCGATCGGAGAAGGACCACGGTCTCACAGAATGCCAACAAAAAATAACAGCTTAATGTTGCCGTGTTTCGTATTGTGAGTGAAGAGAACCGGAGACCCTTTTTACTGGAAACGAGACATTCGATTTTAGTCTTTACGGCTGACAACGCATCTGCATTTTGATTATTAATCAAGGATAGATCTACATCTATCCTACGCCAAGCTTTTTAAAGGCCAATTTGGCCGTCTCTTCCAAGTGACCACGAAACTGCTCACTATTCGATATTTCGACGCAGAGGATTCCGATGTTAGCTGAGGCAGCAAGGGGAGTGCCTTGAAACTGAGGAGATACGACAAGGGGGTTCTTTTTAGCGGTTAACGCGCAAACTTGTATCTTC